CATCTTGATAGCCACTTCATAACTCAGTGTGCTCGTGGTTGTTGTTTGGATGACAATATTGGAGTGGATTATTGACTCTCCAGTTGACAGTTTGGAGAGTCCACTTCAATTCCATCTGCAGATTCCTAGTACTTCTACGCTATATCTTCTCATCTCTTTTGCAATCTGGGCAGCTTTGCTAGGTTCGGAAATGGTGCTGACATTCCATGTCCCATGTTAGCTTTCGCTTTCATCGAGAGAGAGAGAGAGAAGACATATCGGCCAATTGGTTTCCTGAAGGCTTTCACCAATCGGCGTCATTTCTTCTCTCCTATTCCAGCGAGGAATAAGCATGATTTTACTTTTTACATTTTCCTTGTGCTTTGAAGTTTGTTTAGCGATTGGATCGGTTTTCTGAGGTAGGGTTAGTAGCCCTATGCCCAGCCTTCCCTCTCTATCTGGATTCGGGACAGGCCAGTAACTAGTGAACTAGTAAACCAGGCTTATATCGGCTGATATCTTGCGATGCAGGACTGCGGGTGGGATACTGTAGTGTCTTACATAAGCCAGGGAAAATAATGTGTATTGGTTTTCTGTTGTCTCAGCTAAAATCCCAGTCTTTCTAGCCAGCCATCAAGTTCGTGGTGTATAAATGACCATACCGAAAGCCTTGCCGACCAGTATGGATGATGTCTTCCCCTTTTAAGGAATTTCCTGACCTCACCGGCCATCGGATTTTATGACACTTTGGGCAGTATAGAAATCACGGCAATCGGTATGTAGCTGCCTTAACTTTCCCAGTATCTTCTCTTGAAGATGGTTGACAGGGCCGCTCACTTCAATTTTCTGCATGATGCTGGAGGGTGTTCGAAGAGCTTGTGTATTGTTTTCGCGGGTATCTGGGGGAGAATTTTAGGAGTATCGGTCTGAGATTGTCGCAGCCGGGGGACTTATTTGGATACGGCCTGGATAATCTTTCGGTGTTTTTTCTGTGATTAGGATGTAGAACAGACATTGATTATTTATGATCTGATCGGTGTCCCATCGAACCAGTGCTGATTTGGTAAAAGCACTAAGCTGCACCTCTAAGTGTGAGTTCAGAAGCTCCAGACTGCCTAGCACATCTCCATTAGAAGCTGCAATAAGATTCATGCCTATGGTGGTCGAAGCCTTTTTCGAAACGGAGTGGTAAACGTTTTTGGGCCACTCTGTAACTTCCGCTTCAGGTTTTGTTGATGGCAAAACCTGTCGATTCTGGCTCTTATGTTGCAGTGGATGTGAATATTTTTGCGGTTCGAGAAGTTGATGAGCGCCACTTAGACCAGGGCTGACTCTTGATCTGAAGTATCCTCTCCATCCCACTCCTTGGCCCCGAGATTCCGACCAGCAGTGGGCGCATTGCTTCTGGCACGTTGTGACTGATGGCTGCAAGAGTCATTCTCTCCACTCGTCTTCAGTGTTCATCTGATGGGAAGCGAGCCCAGTCTACAGACCATGGTGTACCCATGAAGCGATTTCTCATGGTTTCATAGTCGGGTCTTGCTAAGGCAAGGGAGGTGCTGGGTATCTCTGGTCTCATAGCCCCCTTGGCAATCGTAGAGAAATATGTTGCTGTGTGATAAAAATAATTTTTATTTTTAAATTTACAGGTGCATATCATTTTTACGGGTGAGGTTATTATATTTTGTGAGGAAAGATCCTTGGCAATGTTGTTTACCGTCTCTTTTTCATCCCGGGTAGTGGGAATCCCCGCACTGAAAGTAACATTTTGCATCACATACGAACACTGCACTTGAAGTTACACGCTGAACTTTCCCGGTGCTTTTATGATGTTTTCTGGCGGAAGTTGAAGTCGTGTTCGACGAACATGCGAAAGCCTTGTTGAAAGAAGAATGGGAAGGAACGCAGCAAGCCCATTCTCTAAGGGGCGATTCTGATTTAATTACTCAAATGTTTTTATTAGAACGACCATGAATGTAAAGGAAAGTATCACGGCAGATTTTGTGTGTTATTAAAACGATTCGCATCTTCAGGTTCACGGAGAGGTCAGGACATACTGTATGAATAGATAATATTGATGGAAATGTGACATCTCCTTGATGAGACATCCTACTTTTGTTTGCTCACGCTAAGTTGAACACGTGTTCGCCATAGCCACCATTAGGCTCTGCATCCCGCTTCATAGCTCACTAACTAAGCGTCGAAATCAATTTAATTTCGAGGTCGGCTCTAAGATTCCGCACCTGTGGACAAAGTTGTAGACATTTTTCTACATTTTTCTGCTATTCGCGGCCGCAGCGGACGAAATGGCACAAATCAACCATTCGAAGGTGAAATGCCGCAGTAAATGCATGATTACTTATAACAGCGAATGAATAAGTGCCAACAGGCCCTATAGAAACACCTTTACATGATGCCATAAGGAAGCTAACCACTGGTTGCACGATTTCGGAGCGGTCGCTTGGAGACTGATGCAGTAATATTTAAGGAAACTACTGATGAACCAAAGTAACCCCAATCTAATTGCGGGCTCACAAGATACTATCCACAATAAGAACGGAGAAAAGAGAGCGGGGGGCTAAAGCGTATGGGAGTTATTTACGTACATAAGAAAAAGATGAGGTCAGCGTTCTAACAGTGTGTCCGCCAAACACCATCACTCCCCGCCCTCCCCAAGCAGGAACAGGACACAAGCAAATCGCAAAATGCCTCTTTCCATATATCTGGGACAGGTGTTTTATCAGATATACGGAAAATTCTACTACCCTCGTCATCACAGAGAGGGAAAGAAAATTAGGCATATATAAAATCGGCCTCGAAGTTGTGGAGTTACCTGATCTGAATATGTACAATAAATTGTGTCCGAAACGTTTTCCAGTAAATGCTGCTGTTTCACTGCGTGAAATTAGTAATATCTTGGCCTTCGCCACAGATCAAAGGTATGGGTTAAGGTAGCCTGCACTGCAAATACCTAAACATTATCGAACAACAAACTTCGGGGACTTTTCATGATAAGAATAATGGAACACGGTTAAAATTGGCTGACGTTTTCCCTAATTCATTCATGCATATATGCGACGGATTGCAGGTTTCCTTTACATGACAGTTGTCTAGTATCCAGTAAGTGCTTGATTTGTTCGCAGGCAGTTGCTTAGCCCAAATGAACACATCATTTTAGACAGCATTCAGACTGCTTGAATTATCACAGATAAGCGGGAAGCTAGGCGAACTAACTGCGGTCAGGAAATGGACTATGCAATTGACCATACGCTATTTGTTTAGGACATGATGTGATTCTCCTGACATACTAATAAGTTTCGAGATTTGTTGATCGGCGGGCTACGTGGTTCAGAAACCTGATAGCAAATAGAAAATTAGGATTGTGATGTATCGCAAATTTGGCAGGAAAACAATTATAATGGAGGAAACGAAATATATGCGTAAGTGTAAAAGATTCCTAGCCGCATATCACCATACCAGGGAGAAGGCGCCAAGATGAAGCATAGAAAAACATCGAAGATATTCAAAAAACTAGGAAAAAGTTTTGAATAGAGGGCAGAAAGAGGTCACCGGGTCTGATACGCCTTCCGGGGCAAGTGCGGTGGAGAGCGCGATCAACCACCTCACTCCCTAATTTGGACAAGGCATAAAAAGGACTGGTCTTACAGCAGCTACTTGCATTTTTGTGGTGGGAGATGCGTGCCAGACATTCACAGACTGTCACCCAATATGTCAATGAGGCTTTGCATCTTTCCATCTTCCTCGCGTGACGAGGCAGTCGTCCGCCAACTTCGGTTTTGCCCAAAAGTCCCCTCTGAAGAAACTGACCCCGTAAAGCTAGACAAGCTAGACAAGCTAGACAAAGTGCGTCCACAAAAAATGATGTGGAAATGCGGGAAGTTGTCCTCCTGACGGATATGACTTGACGAAGACAACTCATCTGATAACTCACGACACTGGCGTTCGACTCTTGAGGTTTGAGCCTGGTGATGTGCTCACAGGGAATCTCTTTCCAATGGACAGTGCCAGAAGACCTCCCGACCGATGAAGCTGAACAGTGGCCTCAGGTCAATGAGTGGAACTGGTGTCACGCGACTTTATGTGTTCTGATGAAGAGGGAATGTCTCCCTGATAAGCCAACCACTATATCTGGAACGTGTGGTATCATGGTTCATTGTTCTGGACAATGGCTCATAGTTTGGAGTCCCAGTCCATCAGAAGAATTTCAAGCAGTCAAGTATTTTCATCACCCATTGCACATTAGGTTCCACCTATAAAGTTGAAGCCTGAGCCGGTTGTCTTTCCCTGAAATATAAGGTGTTAGAGACCATTCAGATTTCCGTGTACATGTTTCACCAAGTTAGACTGGTAATTAAAGCTCTGGCTGTGGACACCCTTCTCCCGGGGAAAAAGAGCTTCAATTTTACATCACAACATTCCAAAACTTTGGTAGCTCGAACGTTTCAAAAACAACTTGTTTCGCCCAAAATCAGGCCGGCTTACGCAGGTAGATGTGTTTTTCAGAGATGCGGCTCGTGGATGGTTGAATAGGAAACATCACAATGCACCACAGTCATAGGTTCATTCCATAGCAGCAACCGGGGAGTGATAAGAGATGAATCCCCCCATAACATTTTACGACAAGTGCAAAAGACATCAAATAATTATTTGAAGGATGAAACGATTCACTTTTGATTCACCCGCTCATGGCATATGTATGCGTGCTACTCAGTCCTGTCACGTTCATAGACGTATAGGATTGTATTCAGTGCAGATAGGCTGGAGTCACAACTCATGGTACAGAAACAGATCTTTTGTTCCAGTCAGTACAAAATGTGTATCAAAATAGACAAAGTTTTGTCTGTTATGGTCTATGCTGAATCTCTGCCTTTTTTGTTCCACTTCTGCCAGGGTGTTTGTTCTAACATATCCTGAAAGGGGACTTATTTACTTGTGCCCAGCATCATCATAAATGTTTTGAACTTTGAATCGAGAGCTTGAAAGCTACAAGTTACCATTATTTGCACTATTGGTGTTGGATACTGGGTGCATTTCACGGTTTTATCACCTTTGCTGCATACTCTAAGTTCCAGACTGAATCCAAGCAAAAGTATAGGTGGAGATGCTAATATTGATCACTTGATGCCCTGTCATTGTTTCCAACGCGGGACAATTATCTCTGATTGAAAGTTGAACATAAAGAAGTGACGTTTCGACAGTTGCGTTTCTCACCATAAATGTAACTCAATACGTCTTACTCATCCACTTCCAAGTTTCGGTTTCTAGTTTGCCTCATCTCTTCCCTGGAAATCGCTGCCCATTGTCAGTTGTGTTTTATTACTAAGTGTAAGTACATCTTGGCTTTCTGAGTCCTTGGCTTACGTTTTTCCCTCATCTCTTCCACATTCTCGTAGGCACTTGTAGACCCACACTTCTCAGCCTCACCCTGCAGAAGCATACCTACAGGCTAGACCAAAATTCACTGACAGTTGGTCGTTATACAAGTCTTCCTTCAGAGGTCAGTTGTCTTTCATTCTCAGAATTCATCATTAGCAGCATTGTAAACTCCAATGACTTAAGAATAGACATATAGTACGTTTTTATAGCTATAGCTCGTAAGATATTTTGAGAAATAAATTGATGGTGTCTTTGGGCTCGAATATATTTTAACTCAAGCAGCACAGTTGTCCAAGTGTTTGAACCACATTGTTTGTAAATTTGATAAATAAAGTACAATCAAAAGTATTGAAATCATTCTAGGTTGAAATTGTAAGTGCACATACGTCTACACATATGTATAGCTGTTCTTTCCCTAAGGTAAGATGACGAAAATGAACTCAGTCACAGTGGATTCTCTCTTTCAGTAAGGCTTAAAAAAGCGGCTTTGGCCTAGGATCTATCCTTATGGCAATCTCAGTTGTATCGGCTTCTTTTTTCAGTCATGCATTGGTTGCCTAAATACAAGAATTTAAACGAGATCCTAAGTACATTTGTTGAAGCTTCCTAAGGCAATCAGCACTAAGTCTTACGAAAGTTTTTGCAAAAGAAATAATGCACACAGAACCCTTTCGCTGTAGCTGTCTTGCACTGTATGTTTCCACATCATGACTGTCCCTTACTTCTAGTTGTAGATGTGGTATTTGTCAATAGAATGCTGGTGACAATTGCTGTGAACCTTTCGTAACGAGTTATTAGCGGCAGTTGATACCTAGGCGTCATACGTTGAACCGACTGGTCAGTTATGTCCACCTGTCACTTATGCGGGTATGTATCGTCATAAATGATCCTTCAAACGTGTACACTATCGACGAGTAAAAACACCAAGAATTAAAATGTTTTTTTCAGGAACAGAAAAGGACAATATGAGATTCCTTAAATAATCCTGGTTTCTACAAACTTACACATTGACGATATTCCATCTACGTTGGTTTTCCAAACTATTATTTAAGAACTCATTAATTGAAAGTGCAGTATCAAACTTGGAGGTATCATACTTCAATGGTCTTAGGTGATGCACCTAAGTAGCACCTAGTAGCAGCTTGAGGTTGGACGAGAAACATGTATTACCAACATGTAAACACGTAGGTAATACATGTTTTTGCGCTGTCATCAAATTATGTTTTCTGATTCGGTTAAACATTACTTTGAATATTTATTTCAGAAAACTAGATAAAACACTAGTTAGAATGATGACGATAATCAGATACCAGCTGTCAATAAACAATCTTAAAAACTCGGCTAATTATGATAATTTTTAATCCTCTTGATGGTCGATTATTTAACATAGGCCGGTTTAATAGTTCAATATTAGGCTCGTCAATAAAATTTGTGGTGTACATCCCTATTACTTGACTTGCCTTCCTTGCCCAGTACATCTCACCTGACTGATCCCGCCTAACACCAGCAATACTACAAAAACACTTGTGGTCGAAACCGTGTTTTGACTTCAGTGAGGAGCGAAAGCAACTTAAATGTAGATTAACAAAAAGTGTATGCAATGACCACGAACAGTGATGGGCAGCGAAGGCTAAGGAGACAAAAAAGACAGCGGCGATAGGTAACAGTAGGTAATTATTTAGACTTATGAAGGAAACTGGGGCGAAAAGGTCAATGCTTAGTGTGACTATAACAGATAAGGATGGGTCTTTGATCCGCTCCCATGGGAGACGACTAGGATGATGAGGAGAATACTTTGGGAAACAGTTCAGTTGGCCTCCAACTACTATTACGTTTCTCGCTGTCATCGAATGAGATGGCTGGGATATGTGTTACATGTGGCTCGCCACCGTCTGTTTCGTCGCGTAATGTAGGCCGAAGTGGGCTCAGGCTGGAAAATGGTTCATGGCGGCCAGACTAAAACATGGCATCAATGTATGAAGTGTTTGACTGTTGGTTCGAGCCATGTGGGGTGATGCAGACTAGTCGGTTGGGGTCCATGGGACAAGATAAACCAGTAGTTCGAGACTCTAGGTAATATGACTGAGAACCGATGTCAATGGCACAGATGTCTACACATTATCCTCATCTTAACGACGCTATACGGAATCTCACCATTTTCTCATTCTCCATTTCCCTCTTTAGTACTTTATACCTTTACTTCTACTTCCTTCGACGGATTTTTCTTTCCTTCTTCATCTTCCATTTTTTGTCTTGTTACTTGATGTGGTGATATGAAATGTAGCAACTTGGGTCGTTAAGCAGTACTGCGTGGTTCTATGTTGATCTTGATTGTGATAATGATGACTTTGACCAGGAGTATGGTTTTGCCGTAGGATCCCCATCATTGCTGAGGTAACTACTTTTTGTCTTGTTGTCCAACAAACTTTCCTGGCATGGTAAGACCTCAAGGGATAGTCTTTCCAATTAGTGTATCATTGAGATCATTGTGATGTGAAAGTTTGATCACCACATTAAGGTAGCAGCTATCGGTCTACTTAAGGCATCTAGGGAGCTGTGTTTTGTTTACATATGAATTTAGTAAAATTATTTCTTTATTTTAATTCAGGTGGAGGTTATTTGTGATAGAAAAGATGTTTAGTTTCAGGAGGAATTATCTATGAGAGTAAAAGCATAAATCACTCAGTAAGTTTTTAAACATATTCATTCTGCGTACAGGGCTAGTGTCTGTCAAGGTGCTTAATGTCATTTAAAGTAGAACTAAGTTGGAAGAAAGCTAAAAATGGTCAAATCAAGGTAGATAGTCACTCTATGAGAAGTATGTGCTGCCTAGTAGGGGCAAATGGGACAAGTAAAATAGATATTTTGAGAACGAGTAATTTGGCCTTAAGTCAGGCGTGCTAGTGCAGTTGCTTTCTTGTATTATCTTCATGTAAAATCTTAATATGGTACATCTTCGAAGTTTGCTGATTACTAATTAATTAATAAACTCAGAGGATTATTATATCCTGCTGTTATATGAGCAAGTTATTTCAGGTGTTCAAATTTCATGTACATAAATAGCGAGATATTAGATAGCTTTTATATGACTGACTGAAAAAATCGACGTAGAACCTCTCACACAAGTGCATCGGCTCAAGTTGCTACACTTCACAGTAGTACACAAAGAACAGGTAGGCAGAACAGGAGTAATATCAGTATAGACAAAGTTGTGTAAAAGAATAGATAATATGAAGATAACGTTTGTGTGAATATGAAAGCTTCATGAGGTGTAAAAGAGTGAATACATCTGCGCCATTGTGACCGATTTTCAGTGATGTTACCAAATGTCCTCAACCACTGATTCATTTCATTTTGGGGACCCCAACCAGGTAGTTTACATCTCCCCATACGACTCAGATCAACAGTAAGAGACTTTATCGACTAGTGGCGGGTCTTGATCTGGTTACCGTGATCCCTTTTTTATAACCTTTTATATACCTTCATTATCATACCACTAAGTTTGGTATAAACATCTTTTTATTCTAGAGAAAAATGGGTGGAAGTATGACTAAAGTATTACCTGGTTTATACATCGGAGGTTTTGATAATGCTAAAAATGAAGAGGAATTAATAGCGAATTGTATATCACATATTCTTATTGTTCAGAATTCAAAGAATGATATTGAAAGAGTAAGTATTTCAATACCAATCTTCTACTTTTACCTTCATTTACTTAATGCAAATGTTATTGTTGAGTGTTTTTATGTAAGCTCAGCATGATAAATATCTATATCCGGCTGATATTTATAAACTTATTATCTAAAACCTAATTTAGCTGCTTAGTTGGTACAGTAATACTTTTTTTACTTTTATATCTGACTGTCAGGTGAGGCGTAGAGTTTTATATCGAAAAGGTGACATCAGTTGATGAGGTCGTAAATCTTCACTGACTAAAGTGGCTGACATTTATTACTGATAGTTAGTCAATATCTACCCTGACGTATGATGTTAAATGAAGTAGATTTAGGCTGGAAAAAGGCGGCTAGACTTGAACATAATATCCGTCTATGAAGTCTATTGATCTGAGCAGTGGAAGAGAAATGTAGACTTCCTGATTGTAGTTGGTGTGACATCGGAAATCAGTGTTTCCAGACTCTGAATGATATGTATGAGAATCCATCAAAGTGACAGTGATGCATCTATGCGTTATCTTCATTTTAATCGTCATACAGAATTTCACTGTTCTTTTATCTTTTTTCCCTCTATACGGCTGAAACCAATAGTCGAAGACTTCATAGACTCATGCCATGCCACACTCTGATCGCCTCCTGCCTTCTCCTGGCCTAAATCTACTTTAGCTAACATTGTGTGATGAGGTAGACGGTGGCTAGACATGCGTAACAGGAGTTTCAGCCACTTGAACCGATGAGTGTTTATTACTGAATTTCCTCACATCTCTAAAACTCTACACCTAACTTCAGCATTACTAATGTGGTGGCACCATGACATATGCTACTATCTATGCTACAAAGGCAATGGTAGTTAAATGCTTAGAGCCTTCTCATGTCCTATACCTTTAATGGCCATGTTTTATAACCATACAGCAGAACAGAGCAAACTGCATCACTGCACACTCGATTCTCAATAGACAGTTGGATATCACAGTTGTCTGATTATCGATGTAAGTTGGCGAAGGCCGATCGAGCCTTTTTATTCGCGCAGAGGTTTCTTCGGTCACTTATTTGACTTCTCAGGTAAGCCAAGTGGTCAACCATTCCACTTCCTATTGTTAGACGGGGTACTAATTATTCATAATTCTATAACCTTAACTTTGTCCATTGTATAGTAGTTGCTTTTCCTGTTTACTCTTTTCAATTTCTAAATGATCAAATCACAATAAAGTCACTCAGCCGTAAATACTTACAAATTATTGTCAATGAAAAATTGGAGAATAGTTTATTGAAACAAATTCAATTGTCCAATGATTTTATTCATCGTGCTCGGTTAGATAATGGAAATATATTAGTGTGCAGGTGAGTTGGAAATGATAAATTACTTTCTTTTTCACTTTTGTGCAATATTATTATTTCGAGGTAGTATTCATCACGGATCGATATCAGTTGGAGAACCATTGAAAACCTGGACACACTGGGTAGCTATTTCATCTTAGTATGGGACTTCTTAGCAGTGTGCACATTAGTGACATGCTTCCAGGTGGATATCTTGAGGTTCTAATGAGAAGTCATGACCTATGGGGTCAACCTGTCGGAAGGGAGGCGGATACCATTCGAAGACCTTGGGTGATAGTTGCGCTATATCGCAAATTGACATAATTTGGAAACTGAATCATTGAACTCCTACCCAGTGGCTGGATGGTTAGCGCGTTTGCCGTGAGACCTGAAGGTCCTGTGTTCGATCCCTAGCCGGGTCATGGGTGCGTACTGCTGAGAAGTCCCATACTAGGACGAGACAGCTACTGTCCAGTACTCTCAGATTTCCAATGGTTCCCCAACTGATGCCAGTCCATGATGAATACAACCCCAAAATTAAAGTCCCCATTCATCTCAAAAATATACTAGTGTTATTATTGTTATTATCTAATTGATGTTAGTGATAATTAGTTGTTTTAAGATGATAAAAGAAAGACTTGAGGATGCTTTTGTAAAAACATACAGCTGAATTCTCTTAGCAACCGTGTGCATGTTTATGCACTAGACATTAAGGCTCATCGATTATTTTTTTTGGGTTAATCATACTACCTAGCTGTCAGAAACTCATTGTGAGCAGCAGGATTCAAACCCATAGCTACTGATTGAAAGTCAGGGGTGTTTTTTAACTGTCACATTTTATGATGACAACGTTGTAGGAAATACATGTGTAAAATCCCAGTAAAGTAAAATATCCAAATCCATTAGAAAGAAACTACCTTATTGGAAGTTTACAAATATTTCCTTTATAATCCATGTAGTCAATGCTCAGCTTATCCAAATCAATAGATCCTAAAATCTACAATTTCATTATCACACTCGGGAATCGTATCCTCTGCACAAACAGTCCGATGACTTTCTCCAGCTCTATGTCAAACATAAAGTGGTTAATTGTTTCGTCTTTTGAATAGTGCTTATGTGCAAATTGTTCATCTTTATATATATATATATATATATATATATATATATATATATATATATATATATATATATATATTAATGATAAAAACTACTTAGTATCACAGCATATGGTCACGTGATGTTTTGTTCCTCATAATCTCATCTACAACAGAGATCTCTCTGTTGACTTCTTACTGAGTTCATGAATTTCTACTGAGCGATGATTGAAGGTGAGATGAAAATTTGGACCGCAGCCGGATTCGAACCAGTGACCACCGGGTTGTTGGACCTTGTAGCTCACTTGGTAGACCATCGAACGGGAAATCCGGTGGTCGCTGGTTCGAATCCGGCCACGTCCCAAATCTTTATTTCACCTTAAGTCATCACCCAGTGTCACTAATCCCAGTCTGCCAAACTACGGTTATCTCAGAAAGTCGAGTGATAATCATGAATTTCTGCTTGAAAATCTTTATTTTTCCATATTCATTGATGAGGGTAACAAATTTATTCAAGATACTATCATGGAATATTATCCATACTTAGACTTATCTTAAAGGCCACCTCATGGGAATGGATGAGTTAAATTGATTGCTTTCATAAGTAGTTACTGATTACCCATATCAGTCAGTAGTATATTATTATTATTTGTCCCTTGGGTTCCTAGTGGAACATAGGGATTCAGTAGCACGTTACTCACAGCTTGGCATTCATGTCACCCGTTAGATTTTTGATGGCGCCAACTGGAGTGAGGTCTTGTCCATATCTAATTACAGTTGTCTGTAGGATTCCTCCTTCTCCTCTTCATCTGCATTATTTGTAGGTGCGTAGCGTAGCATTGCATGATTGTGACCTTCCTTCCTTCCTTTTGAGTTGAATCCTACTTGTTGTCATAATCCTGATCCTGCATGAGGAGATTGATTCCCACTGTATCAGAGAGAGAGAGAGAGCCTTCGATGCTGTTGAGGACATCATGATAGCCACTCCATAACTCAGTGTGCTCGTGGTTGTTGTTTGGATGACAATATTGGAGTGGATTATTGACTCTCCAGTTGACAGTTTGGAGAGTCCACTTCAATTCCATCTGGAGATTCCTAGTACTTCTACGCTATATCTTCTCATCTCCTTTGGAATGTGGGCAGCCTTGCCAGTCAGCTTCGAACATCATGTGGACATTCCATGTCCCCATGTTTACTTTCGCTTTCATCGAGAGAGAAGACATATCGGCCAATTGGTTTCCTGAAGGCTTTCACCAGTCGGCGTCATTTCGTCTCTCCTATTCCAGCGAGGAATAAGTATGATTTTATTTTTTACGTTTCCCTTGTGCTTTGAAGTTTGTTGAGCGATTGGATCGGTTTTCTGGGGTAGGGTTGGTAGCCCTATGCCCAACCTTCCTTCTTGATCCAGACTTAGGACCGGCTAGTAAACTAGTAAAGTAGTTAACTAGGCAAGGTTTCAGTAGTATCATTCATTCGATTTTTCTTTTCATATTCTCTATGATATTAATGGTATATTGTAACAGGTCGTGGATTATTAGTGTTGTGTCATTTTCACCTTCCAATGAATCTTCCAGCTTCCTTATACCTAATGTAATCCTCACCTCGTTTTGTGAATATCTTTTTTGACTACAGGTGTTTTCAAAGCACTAATTGTGTGTAATGGAATCATGGTTTGAGTAATGTGCAATGCTGTTCGAAGTAGGATTGATTTGAAAGAAGTCTAAGGGTGACCAGATCAAAAGGGAAAGTTATAGAGATGGGTCGAAAAGTAACATCTGATCGAGAAGATGACTTAGGCCCGGAAATCACTTTGATTTCTTTCCAAGCATCGGTTTTTCTGTTTCTAGAAAACGATGCATTGAAGAAATTTATAAGGGGATGACACAAAATATCTACACATTTTCTAAATACAATACTATGGCGTAATTTTTAAAATCATTTACAAATCGATCCGTCCTTCCAAGTCAGGTAGCCATATTCGGACAGTCTGAAGAATTCAGTCCTGTAAGCTGTTTCTTTTCGTTTACATCGTTGATGAGCTTCATCACACAATTGTGAGGCGGCTGTCCGATGTTTTTATCACTTCGATCTGATTAGTGAAATCTAGGGATCAACATGAGTGGCTTCAAACTGCTCATATTTTTTCAGTAGTGTTTTATTGGGTGTCTATTGTACTGCGCTGCAGTGTACCTTGTTATGTTGTGTGGTTGTGAAACAAATCTATTAAAAGTAGAGGATATAGTGAAGTTCAAGGGTGTTCAGCCACCGTTGCCTTCGTAGCATAAGTCATGTGCCGCAATGTCATCCCGTGACTAATGCAGAAGTTAGGTGTAGAGTTTTTAGGGAGTAGGGAAAAGTCACTCGATAAAGTTATGAGCCTTCATCGACTAGAGTCTTCCCCATCGCACAGTGTTTACTGAATAGGTTTCTGGGTGGTAAAAGGTTAGAGGTGACCAGCCTAAAATGTGGAATTAGTCTATGAAACCTAACTGTTGGTTTGAGGTGTATGGAAAAATGGAAACTTCCCAGTTAGAGTTTTTGTGACAACGGAAATCAGGGGTTAGGGACTGTAAGCGATATGTCAGGGGATCGATCTCGTAGGTGCAGATGTATCCATATCTTACCTCCGTCTTAATTGTCATACTGAATTTCATTACTCTTTCATTCTTTGATGTTCTCTTTTCCCTTTATTTGTTTGTTTTTCACCTTGATGCCTTCTACTTTGATGCGAAGTGTGGATGGCAACTTGGTTCGTTACGCAATTATGTTTGCTCCTATGTTGATGTTGTCTGTCTACTTGAGGTAGGAACTAGTAAGATTTAGATATTTACCACTTGAAGTAGTCTTAAAATGAAAACTTCTCTCAATGATATCCTGTCCTCCATGCGTTTTATTCATATATCAAGAAAACCCCGGTGCTTTTTCCTGCACATTCTACCGTCAAGATATCTGACTATCTATCAAAAGGACAAGTGTACTGCTCTGCAGACCACTCTATCCTGTTAGACATCTGTAAGACATCGCCGTCAAAAGTAGAAAATATAAAGTGGTTCCAGACTTTTGATCACAGATGTCTTCATAGTATTGCTTGCGTTGGGTGGAATCACCGCCGTGTGAGTATTGTGACCGAGTGGTGGGGTTGCGCGCGTGGGTATAAATGAATACTCGGACTCAATAGATACCTCAACTCAATACCTTTACGACTGACCTCCCTCAGTACCTTCTGCTTCACTTCGCCGCGGCCTGTGATTGCAAGAACAGCGACAACAACAACAACAACAACTTTTATTAGACAAATACATGACATATATGAAGTTACAAAACTCTGAGAAAGTGAAGCCACAAATGAACCAATTAGATTTCTGGTATGACGTCGAATTCCTCCAATCAGGTCCTCATGTCAGTGCATGCATAAATCATGACCTGAACATGATCTGATCACGACTTGAAAACTCCCCTATTGGCTGCTTTCTTGTCGCCACGTAACAGTGAGTAATGTTGAGGTTAGGTGAAGGATACTAGGCAAGACAGGCGAGTGGATTGACGAGGTTGTGAACCTCTGTTAACTGAGCTTGGATATGTACTGCACATGCTGAGCTACAGAGTACCTCGACGTGCCATGCTAGGTAAAGTTGTATTAGGTTGTCAGGGGGTGCAGGATGGTCAGACCAAGATGTGTCACCAGTCTATGCAGTCTCTTACTGTTAGCCTGAGTCGTGTGGGGAGATGTGGACTGCCAAGCTGGGGTCCCCAAGACGAAAGAAATCAGTGGTTGAGAGTTTTCGGTGACGTGGCTGAAAATCGGTGACAGCAGTGCAGATGTATCTACCTTCTTGATACCGTCTAAAACTCGAATATTCAGACTAACCGTTATCTTCAGATTATTTGACTTCTCACTCGGCTTTGTCTACATTGATATCAGTCTTTTTC